GATATCCTCATCATCATAAGACGATACATAATTTAGGCATAATTTAGTTGAATATACATCGAGAATGAAGACGAGTAAAGATGATAGAATCCATCCGTATTTCTCGGCATGTTCACACTTTTTGACTAAAATCACCATGAAACGCCTAACAGGTGAATCTGAATGTGCGTCTTTGTTAAAACTCCTTAGTCCAGTTTTTGTATCCATGTCAAAACGTACTTTCACTGTGATATTTATATCTTAAAATATGACCACATATTAAAGCCAAAGGCTTATTAGATTAACTTAGATCAATATATATTTTTAACGGTATAATATATGTAAATAAATGCAAACAATACTAGGGGGTTGGTAGTCATGTGTCTCTAAGCAAAATATATAATATAATATAATATAATATAATATAATACATTTATATAAGTGTATAGAAAGTGTGTTTTCTAGGCAGTAACTGGTCATTAATCATATTTTTACCATCATAATTTTGTAGTTGATATAAAATAAGCTGTTTAAAATTTTAAAAGTGTAAAAGTTTTAGATGTCACCCTTCCATGAAATGTGTCTTGTCAGCTGGCCACATGTGGGTTTTTACTGAGCACACTCCTGTCTATAGTGTTAAGTGTGCTAAGAGTCTTGGTGTGATCCAGGCCCCTCGAGCGAGAGAAATTAAAGTCTGATGCACTGCAGTCTCTTTAACCATGAACATGTGGAACATGTAACGTCCGCACATTTATGCACAAGATGTCCAGAGCATTAATAGGCATTAAAACCCACAGAGTTTGGGTCTCATCTGGATCACAAAAGTGGAGCGAAAAGACACTCTGACCTACATTCACCCAGTGATCTTCTTTTCCTCTTAGACATGCAAATAAAGTGGTGGAAAATACCCAGCATGCAAAGGGGCTTGGGACGTTTCTCTTCAGACGGCTCCAGATGTACTGTACAGCTGGTCCTCACAATGTTCGGTTGAGGGGGGCTCCCTGGCCCCCTTAAGAGTTAAGGGACAAGAACGGAAAAAAAGTATGAATTGTATATTTATTTTGTGTTTTAACTGATAGATCCAGACAAAAAAGCATAATGTAATTTACCCACGTACAAAATTTGATTTAGGTTTAAGGTTGGGAAACCCCATGAGCTATTCGAGCACTGGCTGGTCCCTGCAAAGACCAGGCCGTCCTCTCATTGTCACTGACCAAAACAAAACATTAACCTCTATCTCGGCCACTATCCACTCACATGCAATTATTTATGTCCAACAACTAACAGCTAAAAAAATTTAACGGACTGCACTGTTCTAATCTTCACCCCAAATCTCAGCAGCGCAGGGTGATCTCTAAGGTAACATATTATGAATTACAAGCTGAAGAACATGTTCTGTGATTCACTCCAGCAGAGAATTACAATGATTGATGGTTTAGGTTTAGGAATAGAGGTTAATGTCCATGAGCACATGCTGGAGTTCTTTGAGATCAATGTGCTTTTTCTGGGTCAGAGAGGAAAACACAGCACTGCAGGGTAGGAACAGACAGATGATGAATGGATGTCACAAAACAGGTGAGTGTTTTTCCTCTGAGGATGATGATGATGGGTAAGAAATTATGGTTCATGTGACTCAGCAGGGAATTTCAGAGGGGTTTCGGTTTTAAAAAGCCAAACACGCACATTTGAACCATTCCAGATCATAAAAGCTAAATGTTTCCTGTTTTGACATCAGTGGTTGAACTTACTGGACATTTGCACTAATATTCAGTAAAAATTCCCCTGTCAAATCAAAAGTGTAACCAGAAAAATAAACTTTGTAGCATTTAGCATTTAAAAGTCAGTTCTGCAACTTCTCTTTTCTCTAGTTGAATACATCTACTGGTAAACCAAGTGTCTGGAGTTTGATGAAAGTCAGCAGAGAGTGTTGTTGAACGTTTGCCCTGGTAATTCAGGGCCGCTTTGAGCTGGGCTTGATTTTAGCATGAAATGTTTCACAGATGGGATTAACAATGCTTCTGTGTACACATATCAAACAGGCCTTGAAATCCAAGGAACTGCTTGATGTGTAACCCGAATGTCAGAATAAAGTTTAGAATCAGAAATGTGCCATTACCTTGATGTGACATTTTCATTGGCCATTTGTGCCGTAATATAAGCCACGCAGTTCAGATGTTTAGAGAAAAACCAGCTTTAATTTCTCATCCATGTGGAATACAATGGAACAAGCCCAAACCTGAGCAGCATTAATATGGCCTGTGTCAGTGATACCTGTGAGGAAGGCAATTCAACCTGACAGGTAGGTCATGGAACATCTCATTTATATAATCTGTTAAATATGTATAGCAGGGGGTGCTGGAGGGGAGTCTTTAAATGTTTGTTTCCTTTTTAGAAAAATTTCGTAGATCCGCATCACACTCCTCCAACTGATGCCATTTGCTCAAGGCTAAAATACAATGGCTGCATTGTAAGGCTAAGAATGATTTTCCCTTCTAAAAGGCTCGATTTGCAGGCCAGACATGGTGAAGCTGTTATATAAGCCATGATTTCTATGACATACACACTGCAAGGAGCCTGTCATGTCTTTCCTTTAGTTTCAACACTCATCACTTTGATATGAAGCAGGAGAAGCCATGAGCAGATTGTGTGTCATATGTGTGTGTTCTTCTGTTAGCATGGACATGTACCAAAATTTCAGTAGTTGATACCAATTTCACGGTTCTCGATATCACAGCAAAGTCAACAACAACACGACAAATGTGCTATGGAATTTATTTTATATATATATTTAAAATAATTTGATTAATTTTTGAATTATTTATCTTATTAATTGATTTCACTAATTAAATTAATTTAAAAGTGAAAATATTTTATATATTATTAATCTGCAGGGGCTAGTATAATTTTGGCACATTGGCAAATTTGTCCATTATCTTACTGATTTATTCATTTATTTAGGAGCTTGTGCGCAAATAAATTTGAGGATTCAAAAGATAAAAGATTGTTATTTGCATTGTTATTATGTTGGCTATGCTGGTCCACCAATGAATGCTGATCTAGTTTAAGTTTTCCAGTAGGCTGTATTCAATATCCTTTCAAATGAACTGTATAACCAAGAAAGGTGTTGGCATACCATGCATTCAAGCTGAAACATTATAAAATCCATTGCTCAGTTGAAAGGTGAGCTGCTTGACCTCAGGGTGATGGTTAGGCAGTTAAAAGGCAGCATGACAATTTGAGGCATGTTCCTAGATAGGTCAACATGTTTCAGGTATGAAAAACAAAGCAGTAATCACCTGATTCTGGTCTACAAGTCTTCTCTAATTTGTCCAAGACTCAGCGCTATCCAGCTCTGTCTTTTGAAGTGACTCATTAAGAGTTTACAAGGCAATCACAGAGACTCAGAGTGGTACCAGCTGTAGAAACCATATTTATATATATAT